TAACAGTAAAAAAATATATATTATCATAAATTCTTTGGCCAAGTACTTTTAATTTTTTTTTTAAGTATTTAGAATACGTAGGTACCTATTTGAGTAATTTTACTCTTACTTTATAAGACTGAAAATGTTAAATAATTGTGCCTATACGATGAACAACGACTCTGAGAGAAAAAATGATCTATTGACGTATACTTCTGATGATATTTTATCATGTTTACCTGTTCCGTAATGTTCTCTTTAAATTGGAAAAAATTTAAAATTAAAAAATTCGAATTGGTCTTGGAAGTTTCTGAGATAACCCGTTAGTAAAAAAATAATTTTACTTTTACATACAAAGCGTACTCGATCCCATTTCTTCATTTAACGTCCCTGGCCTGCCGTAAATCATAAATATGAGTGTGGTTTTATCATTTAGTATTACTCTAAGGGTTGTATTCGGGTGGCGACTCAACGGCTGGGCTATAATATCTACGAACGCGTAGGCACAAAATGGGTGCGCGCACGTCATGTCAAAAGTAAACGGTACCGACAGGCGACGGCCAAAAATTAATAGGGCGATTGAGTGGCGCAAGTATTTTGACAAGACGTATCAAATTTATAATTTAATAATTATTTTGTAGTTAAAAATTTATAACATGTTCAACTTTTATAGCTAAGGTTATGTATAAATTCCTTATTCACAATATCATCAAATATACTTGGTAATATGATAATTCATAGGCTGACTGACCGTTTTCACTTTTCGCTCAGAATCGTTTTTCTTATACAATTATATTAAATCATTGAATTCAAATCTAACACCATCCATTTCAATGACCCACTGGCCACTTGTAACCTACTGTACAGCAGAGCGACACCCACTTGCCCACCTTTTAAAATTTTTATTTACAATGTATGTACCTATATTAATTATTATTATTATGCCATTTAAATTATTGTATAACCATATTTTCTCATATTAATCTCATAAGTAATAGTCAATCTAATCAATAAGTTTCGATGAACATTTCAGGGAAACTTTTTTTAAATAAAAATAAAACTACGACCTAAGCCCGGGGGGGGGGGGGGGGGGCAAACAAACACTTTGCACATTGGACTTTGATTCTTGATTACGTAGCTTAATTTAAACAATAATAAATAAAATAAAAACTTTTTTTAAAATTGGTAATATTTAAATTAGTATTACATGGTTTGGATTAGAATTTTTAAAATCTAAGTTCAATGCGCCCAATAATAATCTTTTTTTTCCCATAAAATAAAAATTATCGAAATTGAATTACTGTAATGGGTAAGCTGTGAGTTTTTCATGTAAGGAATGTTTTTGATTAAAAGTCTGTTCATGGGCAAGCCCTTTTTAATAATGAATTTATTCAAATTCTTGAGATATTTTTGCTATAATACTACTAATTTCTATATTTCAAATGAGTTCTCTCCTTTGACCATTTATACTGTAAATTATGTATCAGTTATTTTTTCTGGAAATGTTGAAGTATCACGATCAAAATGCGAACGAGAAGTTTCAGAGTTTCTTAACTTTGTGTCCTAATTTGTGACAATTGGTTCATGGCAATGGGTTTGGAAGATATGGAGGATATTTGATTTTAATTTTAGTAACCAATATTAATCTATATTCTATTAACATTTATTATTTATACAATTTGTATAGTCAAAGTAAATAATAAATACCAGATCTAATAATATTACATCTATAACATATTTCTGTAAAGTTTTTTTATGGACTAGATCTCCACTCTGCTCAGAATCTAAAATTATATATTATTATTAATTACATGAATGTACTATATTTTAATGAAAATAGTTATATTTTATTGAATGCAGGTATTTAAGATGCGAAAGAAGAAGATACGGCTGTACGGTAAAAGGCAAAATGTTTACACGTGACGGGGCACAAATTGACACATCTCCAGGCGATGACCACAATCATGAACCTGCACCTCGCTATGCATTAGGTGTTCGACAGTTTTTTAATAGATTGAGAGAGAGAGGTGTAGACGAAAATATTGCACCACACATAATTGTTGATCAGGAAACTCAAATGTAAGAACAATAAAAATAACTATGTAATGTAAGTAAATATTTATAAATATATAATATACATCAACTAGGGAACCAGAAGCAGCAATGGAGATTGGACGACCTGCAGCCATCCGTGCAATAGCAAGAGCCAGGCGTCGTAATAGTCCACCAGTTCCTGAATCATTGAGCAATTGGCCAAATATTTTGAGCTCGATTGAATGGAGTCAAAGACTATTGTACGTCAACGGTGCACTAGATTCATTTTACCAAGGACCTTTGGAAGTGCTAAGAGATGATGGTACAGTTCGTTTTGTTGGCATCGCCTTTACAAACTTAGCATTTCTACAACGGATGAATGTACATCTTCGGGCTGTTCGAACTGTGTGCATGGACGGGACGTTTCAAGTTCGACCAAGACAACCTCCCGACATTGAACAACTATTTACCATTTAAATAGTCTTCAATGATGTGGTTAGTATATAGCTAAAACAATAAAAAAATTATCAATTAATGTGAATATATTTAATTTATTTTTAAGGCAATACCAATTGTTCATGCACTTTTGATTGACCGTCAGGCAGAATCATACTGTCGAGTTCTGCAGTATTTTAGGAATGATTTGCAACTGAATTTGAACTATGACCAGCTTCAAATTATCACAGATTTTGAGCAAGGATTAAGAAATGCCATTGCCCGAGTACTTCCTGAAGCCAACAATACTGGATGTTGGTTTCATTTTGTTCAAGTGAGTAAACAGCCAATAAATCTATATTATCAATAAATAAACACCGCAGCGGTAAAATACAGCTGTACACAATTTACCGTCACTGATACAGTGTGTGGAAACCTTAATAATTTAAAATGTTAAAAACTAAAAAATATAAATAATTTTTTTTTATAGTGTATTATTCGTTACGTGAGGACACACAACCTGGCTAGAATTCTTAGAGCTAATGAAAATGCAAGGAGAATCTTACGCATGGTAAATTTTTGGTAAAAATTAATTTATAGATTGGACTAGTGGTGGCATGAAGTTTATATTTTCTATAAATGAGTTTCAGTAAAATATTAAAATGTATGTACAATTTCAATATCATGGCTTCTATTAAGCATATGAACATGAGTATATCTTATTGAAAATTAAATTAAATTAAGGATACCTATAATTGATACGACAAAATAACCGGATAGATATGTGTAAAAGAGATTATTTTGTCACCCACAAAATTTTATCATAAAGGAACTGATTCATAAGATACCTTTTCACATCGCCACTGGTTCAGACACCAAATAGAAAATAAAATATTAGTCAAAATGTTAAAAATATATACATTTTAATTAAACTAAAAACAATTTTACTGTGCAAGACTTAAATATGAATAAAACATTGACTCAAATAAAAGTTAAGTAGTAATTTAATTTTTAATATTATAATGTATTTAATTTCTGCACGTCTAAATCAAATTAAAAATACTTCATGTTTTTATAGCAACATTAAACTCTCTCACTCCCTACACTTTCTGTATTTTATCAAAGCTGGGCATTAACGAGTTAATTAGTCAAAAGTTAAGTTATTTTTAACTTATTAACTTAACTTACTAGTTCGCTGTTCTAATTAATATAAATGTAACTTAACTCATTTGTATCCACGTTAACTTAAAATGTACTTATATTATTTATAATATTCACAATTAAGTTAATTTTGAATATTGAATTTCATATTATCCAAATATTATTTATGTAAGTTATAAGTTTGTAGAATATAAAAAATATTATTATAAAAAAAAATATACCTATTTACGAAGAATTTCCTACATATTTTTATAAACGAAAACTAATATGTCGTATTAACTAGGTACTAATTAATAATAATATAGGGGTAACAATGTAGCATAATATTTATTTAGTCGCCAATATAAAGACATCAATAGCTACAAGCCCACAAAGTCCCGATTCATAAAACATACTTATTATTTATTAATATTTAATACCTACGATTATTATTGTATGATCAATCGTGAAATTGTGACCATTTCCATTTATACATTACGTTTTATATTATAATTTTATTTCAAAAATACCTACCTACCTAATAATGGTATAAATATTTTTAAAAAATAGTGTATTTTACATAATATATACCATGTATATTATACAATACACGTTGTTATTAAAATTTAATAGATATTTAGAATAACATAGTTGTACAATACAAATGTTATACCTTATATATATATATAAAATATCTACCACTATTAAAAGTATAAATAACAGTCGTTTTTTTATAAGTAATTTATTTTTTGAATTATAAAATGTGTTAAACAATACACAACACATTTACACACAATATTTATTTTTTAATGAACCCGGCATGAAATTTGAATAGAATTCTAAAATGATACAGCCCTACAGGTCTTAAATTATACATACATAATAATACATATCGCCATAGATTGATACTTTGATAGGTATACAAGTGATTATACATTTATACTTTATTTTAATAACTTTTTAATGCATTAAAAAAAAATTAAATTAGCTTAACTTATTAATTGAAGTTAAGTTAACAATATTTGTTAACTTAATTTAAACTTAATTGATGTATTGAAAATGTCTAACTTAACTTTTAATTTAATTGAAAAAATAACACTTAACTAAACTTAACAGAGTTAAAAAATATCATTAATTTGTATTTTATCCAACCTTGAATTTTATCATAATAATTATTAGTAAGTAATTGTTTTTCCAGCTCATGGCATTACCTCATTTGCCGGCCAATGAAATTAGATTCGACCGTGGTCTCTTTTCAATTCAATTAGGGTTTCATGTTGTACACGAATTGGGTTAGTTGTCTCATATAAATTCATTAATCTGATATCTATAAATATTATATTATTGTTTATTTAAATATAATTAATTAAACAGTGAGAGATTACAACCTTGGAGAGGAGCTGCATGATTTGATGCAATATTTTCAAAGGTATTGGATGGACACTGTAGGTCCACTAAGATTTACAGTGTATCGACTCCAATACAGAACTAATAATTTCATTGAGTCGTACCACGCTTCTCTTCTGAGACTAATGGGCCAACATCCATCTCTGTATCAATTTTATGGTAACATTGATTACTCTGAAAGAAATATAAATTTATAACAGTCATAAAGAATGAAAAACCAGGTATTTATTTTTTAATTACAATTTTAGAACACTTGAGAACAGTTGAAGAGCGTTCAAGGAATGATTTGGCCAGTGCAGTAAATGGACAACAAGTAAGGCTTTACAGTTTATGTAAAAATATTAAATTTAGTGGACGTAAGATGTCACTTTGTTTTTCTCTCAGACCCACAAGCAAAATAGCACATTTGCATTCAGCAGAATCAATCTTTTCTACTTGTGTGTTGTTAGCATTAATATAAGCATGACTTATTATTGACTTATTATCAAAACTTAAGTTAATAACTATATTTTATAAACTGGATTTTTTTTTACAATATTTTAATTTTTCCAAGATATATGAGAATTTAAAAATTATTGTAATATTTTAAATAGTCATAACAAAAAAGGCTGAAAGTACAATACTGATTCTGTTAACCACAAATTTACTATGTTGCACATATGTTGTGTTAAAATTGATTCTAAAAAATCATTAGTATTTATTAAATAAAATAGGTACATAATGAATTATGATCTATAGATAAATGTATAACCAACATGTATTTTATTTGTAATTAATAGGTTAGACGAAGGACTTATAGAATGTATCCGAGGAATAATGCAATTATAAACAATGGATGGGCAAATGTTGAAAATGGAACTTACAATCTGCAAGATTTCTTAAGAAATGTTTCATATACCAGTGAACAAATCTTAAGAAACGAGATTGGTGAACCGGATTTTCAACCCAGTAATTTACTATCAAAACTTAATAATTTATAAATTTATTATATTTACTTTATTAACTTTTTGCTTATAGTGCTTGCTATTCAAGGGTTAAATGCTATACCTCCAGGACAATTACCACAGAGGCCCCCTCAACTGTTATTGAGACCGATGCCTGTACCACCATTAATACGACCGGCCGTACAACCACCAATAGCTGAAGTGGTACCGGTGGCTATACAACCAGCAGAGGCGGTACAACTACCGATGGTTGAAGTACCTGCAATAGCTGTACAAAATGTTAGAAACCAGAGGGGTGTGCGTAGAAGAGGTACATTTACAACTTTAAAATAACTCAAAATTAAAATCCTTATTTAATACATTATTTTATACTTAAGGAAATCGTGGTAATCGTGTACAAGGCAACGGTAGAGGACGTTTGAACGCGAGAGTGGGATGGGCAGAATTTTTTGCAAATATTGAAGACGGTAATATTATGACCTGCAACTAATAAAAGTTTTTTATATAATTTCTTCTAGTAGTAAAATAAATATTGCTTTTAGAAGTAGAACCACGACTTCCCCCACCTGTGCCAAATCAACATCCGATTCCCGCCAATGAAAGTAAGATAAAACAATTATTGAAATTTTTGACTTTTTAAAATTATAATTAATAATGATTTATTTTTTCAGTGATTTTAGAAGTATGCATTATTTGTTATGAAGAAGTGGTAACAGTCACTATAGTGCCATGTCGCCACACATTTTGCAATACTTGCATTACACGTTTGATACAGGATGGGTTTAATACATGTCCATTATGTAGAGGCAATATTGAAGTGTACGAGGGATATGTATGATAATATGTGATAATATGATAATATTAATATTCAATTTTATATATTTTTTATTGTTAATTTGAGAGATTTTTTTAAGTTATTAGTTATATCATTAAGTTAATTTTATTTTTGTCAGAATTTATAAAAAATGTTATTGCATTATTTTCATTATAATAAATATCTATATAAAAATGAATGTATGTCTGTCTGTGTGTCCATATTACCATTTATATATTATTTTGAGATTTCCGATGGAATTTTTGTATATAAATGGTTGCCATGTTAATATGTAAAACATATTATTCATATAGAAGTGGCATTTTTAATGGGGAACAAAGTGTAACAGGATCAGCCAGTAATATATAAACTTTTAATAAGAATAAATAGTATTCACAAATATTGAATGATCATCTACTTTGTTGTTGTTGACTGCTGTTATTATACTAAAACTAAATTAGTAATCACTGAAATGTGAAACAAATAAGATCATATGAAAAATGATTAATTATAGACTCAAGAGAATTAATTACCTACATGTTTAACCCAGGTTTTAGACACTTAATTAATCATTTTCAGAATTATCTTATGAAGAATTGAAAACTAACTGTTTATATTTTATACCATGACAAAATAAATGTTTGTTCTGTCATGGTTTATACAATATTTCCACAAATACTATGAATGATGAATCTAATTTTTTTCAATATAAGATATGGTAATACGAAAATACAAAACTCAAAATTATTGTAAAAATTTGAGGCCCCCCATACATACTTGTGAGGCCCTCCGGTAGTTGCGGCACTGCCTATAACCGTGCCGACGACAGACATCAGCTGCTGCCATAGTGTTACATATATTTAGCCATAGTGGTATATATTTTGGAATAAAGACTTTGTGGTACAAAAGTTCAAAATTTGATCCAATGTAAATGGAATTATATTCCGAAAAACAATTGTTAGAATGGTGGTCTTTTCCGATGTACATTTGTTACAACTGACTTTTATTCCATAAAAGATTTGTTCCTATCGACATTTGTTCCGAAAAATAATAATATCAATGAACATTTGTTCCACAAACCATTTGTCCCAATAGAGTTTTGGAACAAATGTCCATTGGCACAATTATGTTGGGAACAAAATATCCATAAGCATAATTATATTTTGGAACAAATGTTCATTGGCACAGATTTTTTTTGGAACAAAAATATGACCACCGTCCGTGACGGCGCGAGTGCGTGATATGAACTTATTTTTCACAGTGATAATGCATTTTGTTATCAATTTTTTTCCGGAACCTGATAACCATAATATACCTATATAGTTACAACCATGATATCACGGTCACAACTTACAAGTCAATAGTCTAGTTTTATCTATGGTCTAAATACTTTATAGTCTCTATATAATATTATAATCTATGCAGTATGCAGTATGCTTGAAAATTGAAAAACAGTAAAGTAAAATAAAATTTAAAACTAAAAAAATATCACTTTTCAGTTTATCTTTAATCGTGCTTTTTAGTAATCTGTATTTACTTTTCACTATTGAATATGCACCATTTTGAAATTTGTTCAAATTAATAATTGTTTTATTTAGTAATTTATTCCTGCACTCACAATCCATACTGTCTGTTTAGTGGTGATTGAAGGTGTTGATTATTAATCGTGTGTATCCAGATACTACTTAAAAAATTCTTTTAAAATGGACGTCATGGGATTAAATCAAAATAATACCATTCCACCAAACGTGACTTCCAAAGTTTCGGATTTTATAACTGCTGAACAAGGCACTTCTTTGGAATCTCCGATTAGTTCTAATGATATTCAGTTAGATAGTGGACAAAATAATGACGATTTTCCTTCTCAACCAGTGACTGAAGGCGAACCAAAGGAACAAACTTATCAAGATATTTTAGGTTCTGGGGATTTATTGAAAAAAATCATTAAACAAGGAGCTCTTGATGAACGACCAATGAAAGGTGAACAAATTGTGATAAATTTAGTTGGTCGTCTAGAAGATGATGACGTTATATTTGAAAAGGAAGAAAATTTTGAAATCACTCTTGGTGATTGTGAGGTAATATAATATATAAAAACATGCGTTCAATATTTTTAAACAGTGATTGTGTTTTATTTAGGTTATTCAAGGTGTTGATTTAGCTTTAAGCTTAATGAATGTAGGTGAAATAGCTGAGTTGAAAATAGCATCACGATTTGGTTATGGTGAAAAGGGATTGCATCCAAAGGTTCTGGGTGGAGCTAGATTAGTTTATACCGTAGAACTAGTAACTGTAAAACCAGAAATACTTCCAGATGACCTTACTCCAATTGAAAGGCTTAACATTGGGTTTGTACATTTGTATCTAATTATTATTGAACTTAACTATCATACAATTAAAAATTATGTGTACAAAATGAGTGTTTTGGTTGATCATACATTATTGATCTACAATTATATACAGACTAGAAATATATAACACTTTATAATATTGTTTTAAAATCTAGATTAATTATATATTTGAACATTTTAATTCATATTTAAATATTTTATTATTTTCCCATTAAAAACAATTTTTTTTATGATTTATAAACTTATATTAATAAAACTACATTGATAAATAATTAGGTAAATACTAAATACCGAATTAAACAAAAAACCAGTCTTATCCACTTCTTATAAAAAATTGTCAATGTACCCATTATATTAGATTATGATACCTAACCTTTCATACATCTAAAAAATAAATATTGTACAATTTAAATATAAAACCCTTAAAGTACAAATATTAAGATAAATACTGTATGAAATTGTCCTACATTTTAAAATTTTCAAAAATATTGAATTTTTGATTATTGATCAAAAAAAATATAACTAAAAAAAATGCATGGACAACATGTGATTTTTCACATATTTTATTGCATACATAAAAATGGTAGAAGTTTTGAAAAACTCATTTAAGTTTAAAATAGTCATAACTCATAATATATGGTGCCATACTGGAGTTAGGTTAGATATATATTATAAACTAGATATAGACCAGTTATATCACTGTTGTGGGGGGGGGGGGGAGAAACTGGACTGTCTGGACTAACATCTACCTATTGATTTTTGTTTAAAATTAACAATTGTAAAATAATTTTTAAGTTTATTTTGTTTTGTTATAGGCTCAAAAAAAAAGATAAAGGAAACTGGTGGTATGCACGTAATGAAAATACTATGGCCTTACATGTATATCGCAAAGCTATTCAATATTTCGGCGGACCAGGAGATATAGTAAATATAATAAACTTATTAATTTAGGAATAATTATGAAATTGACTGAAATTCATAAATCACAATATTTTAATTATATTTTTTTATATACATTTTAAACAAATTTAATCATAATATTCGTAGTTTAAGTTCCTTTATTTTTAAAAAATTTCTAACATAGTTCTTATAAATTCATTATATTCTTCAGGATTATCATTAAAATGTTAAGCAGTTATTGCTATTTTATTAAGATTTTATAAATTATGAATGAAATTATATCTTTAACTTCATAGTATTTCCTAGACCTAAGGGTAAGGTTTCTATTAGGTAAAGTAGGAAGTAATCGAGAAAAAATGTTTGGAAATATTTTTTGGCCATGCAGCGATTCTCAAACTAGTAAATAGAGAAAAAGATACAAAAAGAAACAACAGGATTTTTGTCAATGTCTAATTTAATCAATGAAATTTGAATGAGTATATTCAAATAGGTTACCTGTGGCATGCAATGAGGGAATCCATAGTTAATGTTAAAAACAGTAGTTGAGATAATTAATAAAAATCATGGACATGATCATGACAACATTTATTGAGGATCTGATGAAAATAAATGTGTAATAAACAAAAGTACTTGTATGTGAAAGGGAAAATAAGACCAGAGAACAGATAATGCTGAAAGAAACCAAATAATAGATTAAGTAAAGGAATTTGTACAAATATACTCTGTACAAAATTATATCGTACCCCGGCGGCATTGTCTGACACTTCTTCCACCTGTAATGAAATAATTATACGGAATTCTGATTGCTGCGGAACGAAGCCACGGCTATGCGCATAAGTTGGCCACTTAGGTACGATCTCATTTTGAACAGAGTATCGGAAGTTGAAGATATAAGAGAAAAATAATAAAATGTATTTGTTAGGCAAAACTAGCATTTAACAGCAAGAAAACAACCTTACATCAAAGAATATCAATGTAAAAATTAGAAAACTTATATGGAGTATAGTCCTAAATGAGTATGATACCTGAATATTAGCAGCGGAAAAAATAAACTAGGTACTTGAAATATTCAAACTATGGTGTTATAAGAGTATGTTGAAGATAAGTTGGATGGACTAATAAAGAAGTACTTGAAAGAATATCAAAATGAAAGCTATTATGGAAAAATATAAGGAGAAAACTGAATGATTGAATAGGTCATATAATATGGCATGAAGAATGTTAAAATTAATTATAAAAGGGAAGAATTATAGAGAAAGGCTAAGTCTGGAATCGGTTCAGCAATTAATAAAGGACCAAGAATTCGACTCAAATGAATAAATGAAAAGGAAAGCAGATAATAGAAAAAAAGTGGAAAATGGTTGCAAACCAATCTATGGCTTAAAACTGTCGAGAGAAGGAATTGAGAAATGATTAATCAATTAATGGAATGAAAACGACCGGCACCACTATAATCACAACTAATTCAACAATAATATTAGTTATTATTTATTATTTACCTCAAATATTATGTATGGTTGTTAATACAAATTCAGACATTTATGATTAATCGTTTTATATAATTTATAATATATATAATATTATATGCTTACACAGTTAAACATATGAACCAAAAATCACAAAATAATTACATTAATGTTTCATTAAATTTTTTTTAGATTGGTTCAGATTCAGAACAAAAAGATATTTTAAGCGAACGTGTCAAGACCTTAAACAACATGGCAGCTGTGCACATGTCTATGAATAGTTTAGATTTAGCTCTAAGTACATTGGACAGTGTACTCAATGTTGAACCTCATAATGAAAAAGCAATTATGCGTAAGGGTAAAGTACTAGCTTTAAAAGGACAAAATATAGCAGCCGCTCACGAGCTTGAAAAAGCATTGAAAATAAATCCAAATAATAAAACAGTCCAAAGCATTCTTAGCAATGTTAAAGCAGCATTAGTCAAAGAGCGAGTGCAAGAAAGAGAATTGTATAAAAAGATGTTGGGACAAAAAGATGTTCATGAAAAATCAGCAAAAGACGACAAAAATACGGTATAATGTTACATTATTTATAAACTTTTCTTCAATAAGTTACCCTACTTACCCATAATAATACCTATTAGTAATAAATATTTTTGGAAAAAATAATTATTGATATGCTCAGATATTTTGGTAGCCTGTAGAGTAGTTATGTAAAAATATAATTAATATTCACCATTCACGTCTTCTCCCAAAAACCAATTTCCCACACTTGTTTATTTTTGAAACCAGTAAAAATAATTTGAGTGTGTGTTAGTCAATAGTCTATTCAAAATAAACATGTTAAACTTTTATTATCACCAACTTCATAATCCAACTTGATTTTTGGGGATACAAATATTATTGTATTTAGTATGTATTTATATTGTTATTAGACTAGTTAACTAAATTGGATTTGTGTCTTGTTTTAGAACACAACATTTATAATCAGTGGGCTTGTTGCCGGATTAGCAGTAATTTGTGGATACTGTTACCTTAACAACAACTTTCCTTTCAGCAAATTTAGTTTTCAATAGCAATCTTAGTTTTTTTTATGTTTTTTAAAGTATATTCATTATTTCTTACATTCAACAATTAAAACATTCTATACAGTTCATTGTGATTCTATTTGACTGCAAATATCTTAAAATTTAATTCAAAAATATATTTAAAAAAAAAAATTAGTTGCCAACTATGAAATATGTTATAAAGTGTATTGTTTTTATGCATTTTTATTTTTAGTTTTTCTTGTGTTTATACATATTAATTTACTATATTATTTTGGTACTTTTTTGGTATGGTTGTTTTTGTATATATTTATTAAATAGGTCATTAAAATATGATTTACTGTATTGTATAATTTATTGAAAAAATAAATATTTATACCTGTACAGGGTAGAAAAAAAAGATTTTCTTTGTTTTTTTAGTCAAATTGGACACTTTTTGGTTTTAACTTTTAACTGCACAAGTTTTTTTCACAAGGTACCTCAAAATCTGGTGCAAAATTATATAAATATTGAATTGATATTCAAGACTCAAGTATACTACAATATTATGGTGCTTGATATAACTGTCCACTGTGTAAAGAGGGTGCCACACCCGTATGCATTATTTCTGTCTTACAAATACATAACATAGCAAATTCTACGTTCAGAAGATCACATTTAGGTCTGTTGGTTTAAAATTTAGAGTGAATTGATTTCTTATAACAGTTAAAGCATGATTGCATGAAGATTAGAGACCAAACTCCGTTTACAAAATATGGCCCGACAAAAGTCTTAAGGTTATTCTGCCACCAGGAGCGCGTCGTTCGATAGCAGTGCTACGTTTTACCACACATTATACGTACTTTACTATAAATTAACGTTCTTTATTATATTTCGTTATTTATTATTCATTACCTGGTCATATTAAAGAATAACTAAATATACAATTAAAGTTCAAAAGGTGTTAGCTATAAAAAAAGTTTAAAATTCAAAATATTCTTCTACACTTGGTTTTATCTTTTTTTTTGTAGTCTCATTGTAAATTGAATTTCTTACAATAAAATGCATACACATTGTAATAAAAAAGCGTCCAATACTTTTTGTTAAATCCAAATTGTGTTCTTCACCACCAACAACAAATATTAAAGATGCTATGTCGTCCGTCCATAAGTTTGAAGTTATAGGAAAAATTGTATCTACATTTAATTCTTCAGAAATTGAAGTCTGTAATGTTATTTTTTCTAGAGATGAAATGAGAACAAAAAGACAATATGATGGAAAAATCAAAAATCCCTTGGAGTGTATATCAATAAGTTTATCTTTAAATGAAATAAGTTCATTTTTTAAAGTTAAAAGACATCTTTGTCCTTTGACATTTGGTAAATCTGGTTGATTTTCAAGCAATGTACGACAAAACTAAACTTGATGTATCAGGCAAACTATAATTATGAACATGAATATATGATGCAAATTCACATTTTTCAGAAAGACCTTTGTCTAAAATTTGATCTAGTTGTTGATTTATTCTTTGGGCTTGTTCATTAGTGTTGGTTATGCCTATATGCCTATTAATATTCAAAAGAGTATTTATCATATCTCCACCGGAAACATTGAAACCATTGGAGGCTTTACAAGTGAATATGTGCTTAGTAACCTAAACATTTAAATAAAAAGAATGGCTCGTATGATCATTAGAACCACAAGCTGAACGCATCATTCCAAAAAATCTCTAAAAATAATGTGACCTATTGTGACATAGATTTAGTATATTTGATTAAAAATAACATATTCTATTTATTTTTATAAATAGACTGATTAAAATTCAATTTTACCAACTAATATGAATCATTAAAATCAAATATATAATTATTGAAGTATATAGTAGTGCACTTAATGTTGTATGGTGAAAGTAATTTTAATAATAACGGAATAGTTCACAATTACAAATACTGTATGTCTGTACATCACATTATGTGTATAGCGTATTAGTAATATATACATTACGGAAACATAATATAGGTATGAAACGTTATTCAATAACAAAATTAATACCTATTACTATTTATTTTTATATAAAATATAGTATAATATACTATTATTTAAATTATAAAAACGATTATTACATATCACATTTTTTACCTGGTAATGTTTTTTGCTGATGTCATAATCCCTCTGCATGTTATTAAATAATGTATATATTTCAATTACTCATTTGTATCATTTATACTCATAAATAAAATTGCACTCAGACAAAATGTCAATACCATTCAAAAAAAATTGGTTTAAATCTCTATTTATCGGTATTTTTTACACCTTTCAAGCGGAGGTTTTATCTTAATTGTATGCTCTGTTAAATAATATGGAAAGTTTGGAAATATAGACTCTTTTAATTGTATTGACACTTAAGAGTCTCGTCAAAAAGTAGAATATCTGAATATCATTCCCTTCAAAATGCAATTCACACACAACGCCTTTCTGTGAGCATTTTATCTTTTATGGGTATAGCTCAATGCCATAACATATTATGTAACCAATAATTAAACAGGAAAATCATTCATAAATAAGGTTAAAGTATTTTGTTTTTTTACTTTGGGTGCTTTAAATAAACTTTTATTCTTTAATACAATTTTTTTGTAGTTTGACATCTATATAGAGCATAACCAGTGTAATACTGGTTTGCCAGGGTGTAATACCCTGGTACAAAACAACACTTAACCATTTGTAGGTGCAAAATACAAAATACAAATTACTGTCAATGTGTTTACTAGCAGGTAATTATCATAATATAAATATATATTTGGGTTTTATTCAGGGATGGAAAACGTTTTTAAAAAACGTTATTAAACGGAAAAAAATGAAAAACGAAAACAATTAATAAAACGAAAACCAAAAAAACCAAAAACGAAAACAAAAACGTAAAACGGAAATAAATTATAGTATTAAACATTATTTAATTATTTTTGCTCAATGTGTAAGTGCATATTTTTCTATTTTTATTCAAAGATGTATTTTATATTTTTATTTTATTTAATATTTTAGTATTTTACAATTACCAATATGTTAATTTTCTGAGTTATTATTACTGGATTATTTTTATTATTTACTCTAGAAATCTGAAATAGTGTTTCACTTTAGTCTTTGAGACTTAAGTCTTTACATTTGGGTTTTTAATCTTTACCAATGCACTTTTAAAATTTAAATATTAAGGATAATTAATTTGAATTTTTAACTTTCAAATGCATTTCTATATTGCGCGGTACTATTATAACTTAAAAGTTAAAAGTCACGAGTTATAAGCTATAAGAATATATTATATATAAAAAAAAAAAAATTATCAAAAACGTTATTTGGAAACAATAAGTAAATAACGTTTTTAAAAACGTTAATCAAAAACGATATTGAAAAATAACGTTTTTAAAAACGTTAATCAAAAACGTTAAACAAAAACGATATTTTTTAAATCAATAAACAAAAACGAAAACGAAAAAATTAAAAACGTTTTCCATCCCTGGTTTTATTATTGAAACCAATTTTAACCGAGATGGCGAGATTCCCCAACTCCTGTATACATAAATGTTTTGAATTCAGAATTTTATCCAGATCATAAAGTATTTTTAAAGAATAATTCAGTGATTCACTGGACACGAGATAAATATTATGGTAAAATGTAATTATGGTTACGAAATGTAGTACAACAGGCGGAGTTCGGGGGGATATTTTCCTTATAGCATTACTAGCGTCTAGCGCCGACTTAGTGGATACTTATGGAACTAGAACACATCATACAATTTTCTAGTTCCATAAGTATCCACCATGATTTAAGACAGCGCTAGTAATGCTAAAAGGAAAATATCCCCCCGAACTTCGCCTGTTTTACTACATTTCGTGGTCAGCCCACAGATATAAAATATATTTTATATCTGTGGGTCAGCCCAACACGCCCTCCAATCATATCTTATTTTGTTCTGTGATATTAGTCCGTGAATACCACGGACTAAGATATACAGGACTGGACACGACAAGGTTGGAGGGTGTGTGGGGGTTGACTACGAAATGTTTTACAACAGGCAGTGTTCGGGGGGATATTTTCCTTTTAGCATTAGTAGCGCCGTCCTAGTGGATACTTATGGAACTAGAACACATCATACAAATTTCTAGTTCCATAAGTATCCACTAAGACGGCGCTAGTAATGCTAAAAGGAAAATATCCCCCCGAACTCCGCCTGTTGTAAAACATTTCGTAACCACAATATTCATCTCGTGTCCAGTCCTGTATATCTTAGTCCGTGGTGAATACATTATCTATGGTGATAACTGATAAGTAGCAAAAGTGCAAAACTCATTCATATGTCATAAAGTATAGACTCATCACTTTAAATTTTAATTGTATATTTGTATGTTTATTCTCTACTGTTCAAACTTAAAAAGTTCAATATTGTAATTTATATTTTTCATTTTGTCATAGTTTCGTAATATTTGTTTTATTTAAAACTCGTGGCCCATTATTATTGTCCGTAATTAAAAATACCTTGCATAGGTACGTGAATAAAAGGCATATTAAAATGTGGAATATCTAAATAGTACTATTATCTAATATTAATGTTCTATAGAATTAAGAATAAATATATAGTACGTAATACGTATAAGAATAGGTATAATATGGATTTCAAGTCGTGTTAACTAATTTATTTGGATGTAACATGTTTAATGAAAACAGATATCAAGCTTAAACGAATGTTTATTTATTGATCCCTTTCAATAACATATTACCTACCTAGTACCTGCACAATGTCTCAAAACGAAGTGACGTTTGTAGAAGAAGAAAAGTAATTATAACTGTTTTATTAATAATAACATCATATAACTACATGCACAATGTCTCAAAACGAAACAATGTTTGTTGATGAAGAAAAGTAATTATACCTATCTGTTTCAATGGTTAAATTCACTATCAAAGTAGTTTTAAGTTGGTTAGCAATGTTGATTGTCAACAATTATGTAATTTAAAGAATTCATTTTTTCTGTGGCTAAGTAGTTACTCATTAAACTATGAAATTCATAAAATTAAAATAATTCAATCTAAAAAATACTTTATCTACATTAAACTGCCAAATAATAACATTTTAGATAATGCTAATTAAACTTTTTTCATTTTGATAAATCTCATTATTTTTGGCCAATTTACATTACTTGAGTACCTGAGCTATAGCTAACCTAACCTATATAATATGATACATATTAGCATGAGCAGATCTAGAAGGTTTTAACTGGGGGTGCTCAAAGAATAATTATCTAACGTTTCTATATTGGAATACTGAATATTGAATACAAATTAATTCTATTGGTAGCTAAACAACAGTGGGTGCCCGATCACCCATAGACCATAGCCACCCACATTTGTACCATACACCAAAGATTTATAATGCTAGCCAGGGTTTCCTAAAGTTGTACGGTTACCAACAAATGATAATATTTTAAAATACATCATTGAATATGAGAAGTGAATGATGTAAATGTTTTTGATGTAATAGTATATCTGGAGAAGTTAAAGGGTTGATAATAATTAATATTTAAACGCTTCTACCATTTTAGATTTTTTAATTTATATTCAGTTTAATACTAGTTAGTTTAATACAGTTTAGCTATTAGCTAAAAACAGATGTATTTTATTTATTGATTTGTATTCTATCTAATAATTAAACTATTACAGTTTCAAGTCATTAGTATGTCGAAGACTGGTTGAATGTGGTTGGATGGATGAGGTGACCATGTTATGCAAAGAAAAGTTAAAGGATCGCTTATCTAAAGGACAAACAGTTCAATCTATTACTGAAGACGATTTATTCAATGATGTTGCCCCAGATGCTAGAAGTATGATATTTAATAATAACAAAATACGTTTATCAATTAATGAACCAATTACTTGTCACCGATTACTATTATAGGGATGTTACCAGATACAATCAAAAGAGAATTAAAAGTAAAAGTACAAAATAAATTACTACAAACAGCTGGATATTTTGATGAAACGGATAGTGAATCTTAACATACAGATCTGGCCCTATTTGTACTTATAGAAAAATAACAATTTTATTAAAATAATTAATTTATCTTAAAACGAAACAAATCATATTTTTTATGAATAGAGTTAAATTAAGTAAGTAAGGTGCTGGTTTATTATATCCTGTCCAGATGTGAAAACTTTATAGTGCTGCCACTCAAGATTTGTTAACTCACTACCATACATAATAATAAATAATATGTTGAAATAAACGTACCAAAATATAAATAATAATAACAAAAGTATAAAAGTAATAATAATTGATTTTTCAATTAGTTTAATTATTATATGATATATTAATATAAAAATTATATTATGTTAACTATTATGTTATACATTGTACCAATGGGCTAAGCCCGTTTATAAATATAAAAACAAACCTTTAAAATACATTTTAATAATAAATGAAACAATAATAATGGGGCTATAAAGTTTACACCTAAGTGGGGATATAACAAACTGGTACCGTAAATATATTTTTAGTTTATGACTGCCATATGATTTGATATAACTGAAATTAATCTATTGTATTTGCTTAATGATAATTGACCAACTGCTGTGCAAGGTAGATCTCACAAATTTAACCCATCCATTATAGTGACCTCCTACTCAATGACTGGGTATACTTGGGCGTACACTTAACATATACTATATAGAAAAACTTCTTAGTTTGTTACCCGAAACCACCCAAATGTTGAAAATTAAACTAAAAATCTAAAATTTAATTCAAAATTAAAAACCAAGAACCTGAGGTCCCCTACTGCAAAAAGAGAATGGGTAATTTGAAAAATACAACTAATATTTGGTAGATGTATATATTTTTGTATTAAAAACATAATTTAATAAAATATGATATCAAAAATGTGCTAAGCATTTAGCTTAATATTTAGGATCTATAGACAAATTATTAAAAAAACAAGATTCTACCAGACACAAGAATATAATATTGAATAGTTATTTTATTTTTTTTGTATAAATTTAATATTAATGCTAAAAGTAATTTCTAGGACTGTATAAATAATAATTAATAATACTGTAGAATATATTACCCAACTATTTGGTAAATGAGAAACTAATTTTAAAAATACAAAAAAGGTTGATTATAATATAAATTATTATATAATGATTATAATAATAATTAATAACAAACTAATTTATTTATCCATTAAAATTATATAGTAATTGTTGGTAGATTATAATTAAGTTACAACATAAATTATTTATTTTGGATATTCAGGAAATTCTTTAGCCAACATGTCAAGTATATTTTGTTATTCATTAATTTTGGCAACAAAACCGTGTTTTTAAAATAATAAATTTGAATATTTTTTTTTTTCAATAATATACAAATAATATTTAATGTTTACCTTTAATTAATCTATTATTATTTGGCATTCACTTTAATTGATGAATGTACAAGTAAATATACTTATTTTTCAAATCATTAGCTAAACATCTAAATAGCGATTAATAATTATTATACATTTTAAACAGATTCTGTAGGACTTTGGAATTCACTTAAAGCCTTTATTGGGTTTTGTACTTTCTTTTGAGAGCCTTTTCGTACTTTAGCTCTAACTTCTTCAGGTTTTTCTGGTCTTACAAGTGGTTTCTTTTCAGGAGCTTTCATTTTCCACACAACAAGCTATGGAAATAAATAACATTAAAAATTAACTATTTTTCTTCATAATATAAAATAATTACTTTTTGGGGATCTGCTCCTTGTCTAGTGTATTTTGTACTGGCCACATACGAGGACTTCACGGTTAATACAACAGCATTCATTAAATTTTTTGCAGCTTGAATAAGAGATGTGGCACTGTCCAACTAAAAGTTAAATTATTAATTTGTTTCATTGTGGAAAAAATAATTTATTAGACATTTATGTAATAAAATTAAAATATCATACCCCGGAAACAATTAGTTCACCACTTATATTTTGCACATCAGCTTTAACTTTAGAAGTGATGTTCAGCTGATGACAATATAAAGCAATACGTTGTAAATAAGCTAACAAATCTTTTTTGGTAGATGATTCTGGACATTGGTCAGCAATTTGTCTAGTAAGCTTATCTAACTTTGTTCCAGCTTCTGAAATTTTCTTAGCTGCATTAATAACATCCATAGTAGTTTTCAATGGTCCACGGCCACTTCAAAAATATAATTAATTATTAAAATGTATGTTATTTAATATTTAACCTTTTCACTGCTACAATATATTTATGCTCTGCAACCTGTTTATTATCCATAAAATAAAATATTTTTTTTTTCTATTTCTATAATATTGTCATCTAATTATCCAAGTTTAAATGGTTACTGACAAAAAATAATATAAAATATAGGCACGATTAGATATATTAGTAGTAAGTTTGGAGCAGTGAATGGTATGTTTTGAACGTAATAGCCTTCTGGAGCAGTGAAAGGGTTAACAATCAAGCTTACATAATTTAATTATTATTAGTAAATATTAAATTATAAGTTATAAAATGTTTTTAATAATATACCGGGTAAAATCTGTCATCTCCATCATAATCATGCACATATGTTTGGCAAGAACAATAATATCATTTCCTGTATCATCCCATTTAGCTACCTCACGGTCAAACTTAAGCTTTTCGCTCCTAAAGAATTCAACTTGTTGAGCAATTTTCTGTTTATCTTCTTCTGTCATTTTTCTCATAGCTTCCTGTATAATATATCATTAATAAAAATGAATAAATTAACAATTCCACTAAATATACTTCAAAATATTACTGTAAAACAATAAATAATAAATATTGTCAATACATACACGTGCTGTAGTAATTCCACTAATATCTGGGTACTCATCCAAAGGTTCTCCAGTATGAGCACTTGCTATAAAATTATTTAACATGTATTATTGAAGTGTTATGAATACTTTAATTAAAATGAGAAGATCAAGATTTAATGATTGGACCCAAAAAATAATTCAAAGAAAAATGTATCTTAAGAATTTTTCTTAACCCAAACTTCTACTTGACAAACTTTATTAAGTACATTTATGTTGATTACAATACTTACACCGGCTCCGTGTATCAATTGTATAATGTTCATCAAACTCTATATCTTCAGGGTCTAATTCTTCATCAGTCTATAATCAAATTATTAGTTATTAATCATTTTTTTTTTTTTTTTTTTTTATTGTGTTTAAGCCTGGAAACTATGATCATTAGGTTGGTTTTTTGTGTAGGGGGGAGGAATGGTTGGTTGAAATACGTTTGTATGTAGCAAGGATTTGTAGCTAAAAATCCCAGGTGGTCGATCATCCAGAAGCTAGCAATACCGGCCGATATGTACACTCAGAGCATTTCCACATTTGAGTGTCACGCTTAATACATGAAAAATGTAGTAAATTTTATACCCTATTCATGAGAACAGCTCGACGAATCTCTCTTACACCATCATAGACAAGTCTAGAAGCATCAATAAAATCATTTTCATCTACTTCTTTAGGAGGATTGGTTGACAAGGCATCAACCGCTAACTCAACACGTTGAGCAAAGTTAGGCATAACTAGATTAAATTAACAAAAAATTATTCATTATTTAATCTTTTATTGTTTTTAAATTATAATTAAATGTTGCTTTGTATTTACCTTGATCACGTAATACTTTAATTGCTTCTAACACACGCTCAGTATATATTCCCGGTTCATAATTATCCATTTCAGCAGCTACTACATTACAAACTCTAGCTGAACGGCCTCTAATTGCTCCAGCAGTTCTATCTAATGGATCAGCTGATCCTTCTTGTAATGCGAGAACACATTTGTTCACATCTTCCAAAATATGACTTTCTAAAATAGAATAATAAAATGTGTACACAAATTTAAAAATATAATTAATAACAGTAATTCCAAACCTGAAACAGCCAAGAAGTCATCAATTGTTGTTATATCATCAACAGCTTCAGTCAGTAGTCTGACTTGTGCTTGCCATGCATCTCTAAAAACGTCCATATTATCAAGTGCCAATTTAGAGCGAGGCCGAACAGCAAGTACTCTAGCTGCATTTATGACTTGAGGACATAAATTCTCAATTTGTGCAGCAGCTGTTCGTACCATTTTTACACCATCTTCATTGTTCGACATGCTACACGCAAGATTAGCTACCTGAAAACAAAATCAATAAAATTGATTAAGTAATACTACAATCATAAAATTTACATTCATGAAAATTTAACTTACTTCAACAAGTTTATTTGCATGTTCAGTGAATACAAGAGCACATTCTTCAACTTCTTTTTCGTCACCTGAATGTGCTGCTTCAATCAAAACAAGTAACGGAACACTTGTTTCTAGGAAGCTGTGGTTTTAACAAAAAAAAAAAAAGATTAATTAACTAAATTAAATATTAACCATTTCCATTGAATTTAATTTACCTATCAGATACATGATCTACAACGGCTTTACGTAATTGTCGTCTTAAATCTCTAGTTTTTCTACACATATGATCAATAGCACGTTCCAATCCTTCACTAGTTTCTTTTACACTCATCTATTAAAAGAAATGTTTATAGTATATAAATAATATCTAAATTTAAAATTGTAGCATTTATCTTAAATTATTCAAATGGCATGCCTTACAGTGATCTTTTTATTCATGCAAAATTGAAAAATACAGTTGAACATTGTCGGCGACATTGTTATAGAACGACAGTAAAACACAGTATAACATCAAGTATTAACAAAATTCAAGTATATCAAATAGTATAGTAATTACCGAGTGCCCACTCAATTATTTACATATTAGAATGAAATTGAATCTTGAAGGTAACACAGGTGTGGTTATTGTTTTAAATTTAAACCACTGTACTTCAAATTAGTTACAATTGTTAGATGTACAACTGATATTATATACAAAAAAAGAATTGATGGGAATATAAAGACTTAAACAAGACTAAATTGTTACTTAAATTGCTTAAAAAAAACTATACAATAATATGATATAGTCTTTAATTTACAATCATTTGAAAATACAATTGTTAATATTAAACTTTGTAAATACACAGATGATAAATTGAAACGCATGAATATAATTCAAATAGGTATAATTATATAAAAATATTAATTTAATAAATTAATATTATCATTATCAGAAATAGATTATTGGATTAATGGATACCTTAAAAAACATGTTATTTATGTTTATCATTATTTAAAAGTAATTTGACTGACATTTTCTATTCCACATAAATAAACATTAAACACCGTTAAAAATTCTTAGATTTGTAATGGTACATTGGTACCTAATCACCAATCACATAATATAATAATAGTCAGCAAAAAGTTATTATATTATACTTTAAGTTATAAATTATTGTAATTATAAATCATTTTATGTTATATTATAAGATCCCTAAATGTATGGATTCTACAATTTCTAGACACACTGTATATTATAGGATTGCTATGGTGCCATAAAAAGTGCTCAAATAGAGTTTAACACAGTAAATGGAATTTATTAACAATCATGTCAAGATTTGATATAGTGAATGATTAATTATATATTTATCGTCATAAAATAAGTCTATTTTATACATTTAGGCAGAGTTGCATAAAAAATATATTAATTTAATAGACCATTTGATCACTAATGTTTAGTAATGTTATGTTTGTGTATGCAATGTATGTAGCATTAGTATAATATATTGAGTATTAAATCTTAAACTCTACTTGACTCACTAAAAAAAAAGATTGGGTAGTCGTGCACTCAAATATATTTTGATGTGTTAGTAACTGAAAGTATGAATTTAAAGTTGTGGACAATTTTATTAAATACGTACAACTACTAATAAAACACAGATTAGTGATTTAAGTGTCAAATTTAGTTTAAAAAATTTACACAACAGTAAAAAAAAAAGGGTACACAAAACTTATTTATTTTGTGGTCTATTTCTAAAATTTTAGTGTTAAGTGCAAGGAAGAAAAATTTGTTTTTAACAAAAACCATAAACCATACCCTTTTTCCGACCCTTTGGAGTTGCAATTGCTGCAAACACCAACATAAAAATAATAATTCTTGATGGAATGTAAAGTTAAATGTAATATTTAAAAACAAAGTTCATATTGATTTACTTATTGAAAAAATACATACGTTGGACATATATTCAGACAGCAAATCCTGCAATGCTTGGCGCACAGCATTACACTCAGCAACAATTCGTTCTCTACGTTCATCACGAGTACACGAAGAATCAGCCATTAATGCAGCTCCACTAATAATACTTTCAAGTCGTTCTTCTAAAGAAGGACGAGTACGCACTTCATTATAAACAAGAGGATCCATAACCATTCTTTCCTAAAATACAAAACATGAAAAGATACATTTTTTTTTATCATAATGATATTTGTAAAAATTGTTTTATATCATAGGGCAAATATCAGTAGTAGGAAATTACAAAAAATTAACAATTAAAAGTATTTAGTAATTGTCCCATCATACCAATTGATCTATATATCGGATAAGACTTCTGAAATCATATTTGAATAAGTCATTAATTAATAATTTTCTTTAGAATAAAACACTTTTTAATAACTTATTTATTTAAAATCATTATCATAAATGTTTAAAATTTCTGAAACTTTGAGATCTTAAAATGATATTTTGAAGAGATTTAAATAAACTGCATGACAAAAAAATATCTGTTAACGATTTATTAGTTTGATTGGTACAATCGACAAAAAATAGTGCACAAAATTATGTCCATTTGCAATCATCTTAATAATAATAAATATATGATGACATTTTATTAATATAATTCTTCTGAATATATTGTGAATTAAATAATACATAATTACATCAAAATCATCAAGTGCAGCAGCCAATTCACCAGGTCCATCATAAATTTGGTTTCCATTATCGTTCATTGCAGCAGATCGACCTTGGGCAACATCACTTATAGTGTTTACAGCTTCACACACTTGTTTCAATACAAAATCACGATTAGCTTTAGCTGCAGCAAGTTCTGGGTGTCTTACATAAACCTTGAGAATAAATTAATGTTATTTCTAAATTAACATTAGTTGGATATTAGATTACTAAAATTTTACTTTGGAAGCAGTTAACAACATTGTAGAATGTTTTTTTAAAATAGCACGAGCTGCAGCAAGATCATCACGTAATTGAGGATCCTTTAATTCTTGTTGTCGTTTTGCAGCTTGACTCATAAGTTCACTAGCACTTCTACCAAAAACTTTAATATTGTCAAGAAGTTCGGCTTGACTTGAAGCATTTTTAACTTTTTCCAAATCATCTTCAACCTAAAATTAAATCAAAAATATAGGCACATTTTTACATTTTTAATATGATTTACATTATTATCTTTAATATGTTGAATGAGTTATTTAATAAAATATTACGTAAAATAATAAAGCTAATAATACTTACAACCCTTAAAGACTTCAATAATAAATGCACATCAACCATATCTGCAAGTATAAGTAGGCGTGTTACGGCTGACAATAGATTTCTTGCTGCTCTAACCATATTGCTACGTTTAGCTGAAGCACAAGGATCTTCAGCAAACTCCCTTGCAGCAATACTCATAGCATCACCTACATAAAATAATAAAGATTATGCAACAAACCTTTTCAAACATAACTTCATACTGTATTCAAATTAGAAAATCATTAAAGGATGCTACATCAACATGTACACTCTTCTTCGACCAATATAATACAAAAAATAGTTATTATCTGCTAAATGGGTTTTTATGATGATTATATAAAAATTAAAAATAATTTATTCCAATACATGCCGCCGTGCATTTAGTAATCATAACATATGCTACAACTTAATATACCTACCTAATATAGGTATATCCTACATAATATTAATCCCATAGTTTATAAATTATAACTAATCCACATGCATGCGCATTCGATAACAATATGGTCGGATGTACATTATCAGCCCGAACATGGTCGAGTGCTTATTATAATCCCGACTATGGTTAGCAATGAACGGTACAAATGCAGTTTAGTTCCCCCTCGCCATTTTGAATTTTTTTATCGAAACTTATGTAACTCATTGAGTTAAGAAAGATGATCAAATCAGAATTTGTCGCTCATACTTAGTTTCGAAGTTACGGCCCTCCAAAGTTTTTGATTTTACGTTTATACGCATTCCTGCAACACTATTAAAATGCCGAGCGGAGGACCATTTTAGTTGTACCGAGTCACCGAGCAGGGTCACTAGCTGGCTCGGACAATTAAAATCGAAAATATCCCTCAATTTGTTATGCAACATCTCTTCAAGTGGTCAAGATGGCCAGTTAAAATAAAATAAGTATATAGTAAACTTAAGGTCCTCCGAGGGGCATTATAGTAGTGTTGCGGGCATGCATATAAATGTAAAATAAAAAACTTTGGAAGGCCATAACTTCAAAACTAAGTGTGAGTGACAAATTCTGATAGCACCATAGTTCTCAACTCAATGAGTTACATAAGTTTTGATAAAAAAATTCAAAATTGCGAGGGGGAACTAAACTGCATTTATACCCAATGAACTTTTTGTATAGGTATTAGGTACAATTCAAAAAAGTGTATCTTGCCTGTTAATTCAGTACCCGTACATTGTAGTACATAATAATAATATATAGATAATTATCTTGGTAGGTCACATACTAAACTCAATTTTTGTTACGTAGGTCACATAATAAACTAATACAGGTATATTAAATATATTTAGGTATCTATATACAATATATTTCCATTTAAAATATTAAAAAAAATTTAATATTAAAACCTTTCAGAATATTATAACATTTCATACTTTTTCACATCAACTGCAGTACTATAGGTAAAAATATGCATTCAAAAAAAATTAGGAAATGATAGATTTTTCCTTTTTTATTTTTAGTTTTACCATACTAAACTTGAAAATTATAGAGGCATACAGGAACGCCATAGTACTATTAGTTATTACCATAGTAAATTACCTAGTAAAAAAGCTTAACAATTTAATGTAAGGTTCCTTATAAGTTTATCTAATGGAAGTTCAAAAATGTTAAAGATATATAGGCACAAATATTTTTTATATGCATTAAAATCAAATTTTGACAAAATTCATCAAAATCTAGAAAATGCTAAATTATTTTTCAGTTAGAAATTCATAAATTTTTCTTTCCATCACTAACATAGACATTTTAACAGAAGTTTTGTTATAAATCATTTTACCATAAAGAAAAAAAAGTTAATTATAGCCATAAGATTTATGCGATTTTTAATAACTTTATTTTATATTAATAAATTTGATTATTCAACAAGTATGCTATGATGAAAATATTAGGTATTTTGAATTTACCAGTTTTTCGAACTTCTTCAACTGCAGCTAACATTTCTTGTTTTATATCAGGATTTTCAAAAGCGATTTGTTCTCCAACTTCAATAAAATTCTCTGTAGCTTTTTCAACAGCAGCAACTAGAACATGAGCTCTTTTTGAACGTCCTTTCTTCTTACGTGAAGTCCCTTTAGTGTTCACTAAAGTAGTAACCTGCAACAGTTACCAATATTAGGTATTTCTTTAGTAAATAGTTATTTTGATATAACTGTAGGTACTTACTTGTAAAACTAATGGTTCTAATGTCTTTTCCACAGACATAGTTCGTATCTCTAGATTTTTGGGATCCCATTTTAGTGTAATGGGACCGAACTGATCAGTCATGTTGTATTATTTGGTTAAATGTCACTGTATAAATTGCCAAGATAGTTATTAACTATTTGTAACTTTCAAATGAGTGTAAGCATAAACCTAATGAAGACAACACCCAAGTTATGACAAATACCGGATTACACTACACAGAACAACTGAATACGACACGATGATATCATCGACTAGGAACACCATAGTATTATGAATTGCAATAATATTCAAACATTTTAAACATTAGGAAATTAATAAATAACAATACCTACAACATTAGTCATAACAAAATACAAAGAAACAGAATAATCAAATGTTCAGCTAAACTCTTGAATAAATAGAGTTATACATTAGATACTAGATAGGTATGTCAGAAACTTAATGATACGCATGGCCACCAATCAAATACAACTAAAACTCTAGTTCACCACTTCTCATTGGTAGAGTGTTACATGTAACAAATGAAGCAAATGTGTGTTGCGTGGATTAATCCAAAACTCGTATACTTGCTGACATACCTATCAATTTTTACTCGTTTTCACCATGTTTACACAAAGCAGATAAGACGTGGACATACCCATACAAACGATGAGTAATTATTGTTATGATTCATCTTAGTCGTCCATTTTGATTATATACTTCCAAAGACATCCCTAAAAAGGCGGGATTTTTCTTGTCTTGAATTCAAAAATACGTTTATAATATCGTTTATAATTGGAACTTTTATGTTTCTGTTCATTTAATACTATTTCTTACGAAAAAAAAAATAAAAAATTAATGTGAGTTTATTGGGCCGCTTTCACCACTACTTCAAACTTCGAATCAAGTTAAACCGGGGTTTATCGGCTGAATTTGCCCGGTTAAATATCTGTTATATAGCCAGTGGCGTAATCATAGATATATACAATAGATATATAATTTTTTTCTGTCCGTGGGCAACATTTTGGATATTAAAAATGCTCTAATTTTTGAGATCATCATTTCTGTAGGAAAAGTGAATCTAGTTGGGAGGTCAAAATTGAAAATTCCAAGTAACTTTTATGCAAAACCAATTTTTGAAGAAAACCGATTTTATATTGTTTTGGTGTAACTCAAAAACTAATACCCGCAGACCTTTGAAAATTTCACCAAATATTTATAATAGTACTTTCATGAAATTTTAACAATTTTGAAATATTTTGACTGTTTTTGAGCAATGATTACTAAAAATGAAGTGTATTAAATGGAACATTAATTTTTTTTGATCTTTTGAACTTAATTTGTACGATATTGATATTCAGCAGTAAATTATTGATCGAGTTACACCGAGCTGAGGTATATCGATTTGATCTAGTGATTTTGTTGTAATTTATAAAAATATTATTTGTGGGTACCTTTAGGAAATTTTTAGAGTATAGTATTAGGTATATATTTTTATACACAGAAAATATACAATGACATTTTCAAATGCAATTTTAATGGCAAAAATGAATTTAAGAAACTGATGCAGTGTATAGCACCTACTATAATGCCAAATAGTAAAATTAATTAGTTTACAATACTGTCTTAAATATGCTTAGGAATATTATAGGCCGACCGACCGTCTTCGCTAAGAATCGCCAATATTGTGTGGAGTTCCAAGTAAGATCACTTATTTGCGGAACAGTGCTATATGAGCGTTCAAATGATTACATTTATAATTTCATTTAATACAATTTCATCATATATTTATTATTATTAAGATGATTGCAAATGGGAATAATTTTGTGCAAAATTTTTGTCGATTGTACCAATTAAACTAATAAATCATTAACATTTTTGTCATGCAGTTTATTTAAATCTCTTCAAAATATAATTTTAAGATCTCAAAATTTCAGAAATTTAAAACATTTATGGTAATGATTTTAAATAGATACCTAAGTTATTAAAAAGTGTTTTATTCCTAAGAAAATTATTAATTAATGACTTATTCAAATATGATTTCAGAAGTCTTATCCGATACGTAGATAAATCGGTATGATTGGACAATAAGTAAATACTTTTAAAATGTTTTCTCACACAACTGTGATTATAGACATGTGAGGACTAAATTTATATATTAGGGTAGATGTGCACACATATTAATTATCACTCATACACACAACTACACTCTTTATATTGCCTATAATCACCTATAATTGCCAAATAAAATACATAAAATTCCATTGGACACACCTGGAGTCTGGACATAAAACAACAATAATATTATGATTTCCAGTCACCATAGGCGCAAATCACCCAATAATATTCGAGGGCCTAAGCAGAAATTTTAGAGGAAGTGAGGGAATTACACTTCACACTCAACATACATTAATACTCCTTCTTAGTTCTTATATCCGCTACATTTGATATTCCTATAAATAAAATAAAATAAATAAATGATTTGAATCAATATTGTGTAATGCATTCTATTTAACTTCTTATTGTAACACATAACTTTCTTAATACAAGTTTGATATTGGTACAAACGAATTCAATAAGGAATCTTTTTTTCCGTTTTATGAATATTTTTTAAATTTAGTTATTTTATTATGATATACGTATTTTACAAATGCCATTTATTAAAAACTTTTTACTCACAAATTATCAATTATTTTTCACTTTTTGTTTTATGCATTTTTGTAATTGGTTAAAAATAATAAAAAACTTAATTTTTGTTCTCAATACAGATTTATGGATGTATATGATTTATATTTTGAATTTTAAACTCATTATTTAAGATATATTATGTATAGTGCATTTTAAAGTGAAATTGTTGGTATTTTTAAAGTTTTTTACAGCATTAAATTTACAGCCATCAGGTGCGGATCCAGAGAGGGGTTATAGCACCTCCCTTGGCATGTTGCTTCCTGGAAAACAAATAGGTACTCTACATAACATATATTTTTCAGTAGTCATTTATAAACAGAATTGGTACCAAAAAAAAAAAAAAAAAAATTGAGTTGCCACTTTTTGAATATTAAGCAAATTTATTTTGAAGACTAAACAAAATCTTAACATCAGTATGGTGTTAACAGAATACAAAACCTTAACCAGTGTTGTAAAAAATACTTTTTAAAGTAATTACTCAAATACTCTTAAAATAAAGTATTTAAAATACCACCCAAATACTATAAATAGTAAAGTATTTGAAATAATCTTTAAATACAAAAAAAAATTCTTTTTACTTTTTAGTGCTGAAATAATTTGTAATAATCAAAAATTTGTTTATTGCATTTTAAAAACATGATTTGTTCAATAGTTAAAATTTTGATCAGTCATGTTAGTTGCTACACAACAATGAACTTTTCTCTACAAAGTTATATATTAATTCAAAACTATAGTATGTATTTGGATATCTCATACCACCGTCGACGATAAACGATAATGATAATTATTGATAAAAATTGTCTTGGTAAATAGATAGTAGGTACTAATAATTACCTAGTCATGATATTTTTCGTATAGTTAAATAATTATAAAGTATAAACTATAAAGTATAAAAGCCGGTAAGCAGAAGCTTTTTACATATTATATATTTTGTTATTGACTTAAGCTAATTATAGCGATACCGACTACAGATGTATCTTTTTGATCTCCTTCGACAATAAACTCCTCCTAAAGAAAAAAAACATTTAATCAACAAAATCCGATACCAAATTGTCTGTGTGTGTTTTTCTTTAACAAGCATAATTTTAAGTAGAAACAAATAAGAATTAAAAGAATAAAAAATAAGTATTCAATAAAAAGTATCCAATAGTAAAAAAAAGTATTTGAATACTTTTACTCACTTTACAATACTGACCTTAACCTTAGCACCCCTTATAAAGAAATCCTAGATCTGCCACTGACAGCCAAAATTACAAAATGTATCAAATTAAGTTTTTTTTTTTAAGTTATATAATATATTAAAGTTGTAATACCAATGTGTTACAGTGATACTTATAACAAAGTCTTGTGGCCTCATGAGCAACAAAATAAAAAATTGTATTATGGAGAGTTTGATAAAATACATTTGATTCACAAAAATAATTTTGTTAATTGGAAGTTCATGACATGGAAGTTTCAATGTAGTTATACTAAAAATATGTAACTATAGTGGACACTTATTTCTCAACATATTTATTGTAAATAGTTTCATTATTAATATGACTAGGTATCTAGTATCTACCCATATATCATTCTATGTGGATAATTTAAAAGACCAATAGTCTATCTTAATGCATGATAGAAGTCATTGTCCATAATTTTAATTATTTATTTTTAAATGGTCTCCCATTGTCTGTTGAATTTGTTCACATTAAATTTAAAGAATATATTTTTAATGCATTAGAAAAATCACTCTGAGGGGAATAAATTATAATATATAAAACAAATAAATGTTATAATTACTTTGATGCTATATTAGTTTGTGTATAATATAATAATTATAAAAAAAAATAATAATATACTTAGTACCTAATATTAAATATAAAAAAAATTAAGTAGATTAAGATATATCTATATTTTATGATTAATACAAGACAGTGTTAGATACACTAAAGATCTACTTATAAGTTCAAATTAATATAAAAAAATTCTATAGATCAAATAATGAAAACATTAATACAATGTTTAGTATTAAGTATGTCATTTTGAGAATATTTAATGGCTTGTAAAATATTTCAAGTGTTTATTTAAAATTTAGCATGAGATTATTCAATGATTGCTGAAGAAACCATTTGATTGACTCCACAAGATCCATCACCTCTGTACAGCAAGTAGTAACCCTATAACAAATATTATATTATAGAATTGTATAATTCAAATTTCAAAGTGTTAATCCCCATTAAACAATTAAGTAAATAATAGTATAAACTATAAAGTATAACCAAACAAACACATTGTATTAAAGTAAAAACACAGTACATATTTTTCTACACTATTTGGACCATTTTTCTAATTGTTAAAAATAAGCACCACATAATTATTGATAAAATATTATGATTTATTGTGTGGCTTAATTTTCACAAGCCCATTACCTGCATGCCCCATTTGTCGCCCCAACTGTTTTTAATGGTCCAAAACGGTAAAGTCGCATTTAAATAAGGATATTCTGAAAAAAAAACATATATTTTAATATATCTGAGTTTAACTTACTTTTTCTCCCCATCCAGGTCCCCAACTATTTTTAATTAACCAATATGGTAAATTTTTGTGGGTATATTTAGTTCCTAAAATGAAAATATTTTATGTTAACTTAAGTAATTTTTTGATTTGAAAATTATTATAAAGATATATTGCTACATAATTAATTTTTTAATAAATTATTGTAAAATATGATGCAATAACTTACTGTGGACTCCATAGCCAACAATGGCCACACCGTGATCCAGTGATTTAGGGCTACATAAGGCATGGATTGGATGTGATACACCACCCATATAAAACTGAAACAATGGTAAATAAGCAATGAGTGTAAGTAGATCATGAATGTATGGTTAATTATTTTAAAAATTTTGATTTTAGATGAAAAAAAGGTGGGCAAGTGGGTGTCTCTCTGCTGTACAGTAGGTTACAAGTGGGTCACTGTATAATGGATGATATTAAATTTGAATTCAACGATATAATATCATTGTATAAGAAAAACGATTCTGAGCGGAGACAGTATGTCAGTCTAGGTATAAGACATATTATATACATTATACATATCTATGGTACTAAACCAAAATTTGACCTATAATAGGTAGGTACCTATAATAAATTCCAAAATTAATCATATCAAAATATCCATTAGGTATTTATAACGCGTTATACATCAACAAAAACCGTGATACTATCATAGATATAATATAATAGTACACTTTAGAAGTTTCAAGTATCCACGAATAATATTATTCAATCACAACAAAATAACTAAAATAGTTATTTTGGTTTTTTAATATGTAATTTCGTCCAAATTTGAATTTAAAATGTCTGTAAAAAATTACTGTGATTGTATATTTTTTAGATTTTTCGGTATAAGAGAATTAACTACTTACGTAGAATCTGTTTTAAATTTTCAATCCTTAGCTATAAAAACTGAACATTTTATAATTTATTAATTACGATGATTAATAATTTTCGAGATTTTGAAAAATTCTGTCAAAATTCGATGTTAAAATGCTTATAAAAAAAAATTGTGCCTATGTATTTTTAATATTTTTCAACTGATATTGTAACAATATATCAGGAGCCTTGTATTAAATTTTTACACTTTTTGGCCCAACAGATAAAACTTAATTGATATTTATAGAAAAAAAAAACTAAAAAAATTGAAAACTGAAAATGTCCGTAAACGGCTCAAAAGAGTCAAAATATTTTCAAAATTGTATGGTGTATAGGAAATGCTAATATAAACATTCAGTGAAATTTTCATGTATCTACAGTAATTCGTTTTTTAATTACAACAAAAAAAGGAAATTGCCACATGAGAAATCGAGTGAATATCCAATGTTGTAAAAATTTGAATTTCAAACGCTCATAAAAATTTAATTTGACTTTCCAGTTTCCGGTAGAGATTTTTTATTGATAAAGGTAGACAATCTTATGAGTAATCTTGTATTAGATTTTCAAATCTAAGATTTAAAAAGAAAAATTTTTACGAATTCTTAACTCAAAATAATTTGCTAATTTTCGTGATTTTTCCATATTTTGTCAATTTTTGAACTTTAAATGCTTATAAAAAAAAATTGTGACTAAGGATTTTTAATATTTTTCATCTACCTTTGAAACAATATATTAGGAGCCTTCTATTAAATTTTCAAGCTTTCGCAACCAACAAATAAAATTTTATTGATATTTCTAGAAAAAAAACTAAAAAAAAACGAAAAATGAAAATGTCCCTAAACTGTTCAAAATAAATCAAAATATTTTGAAAATGTTATCGTGTATAGAAGATGCAAATATAAACAACCAGTGAAAATTGCATGTACCTACGGTCATTTGTTTTAAAGTTACACCAAAAACCAAATTCAATTTTCTGAAAAAATCGATTTTGCGTAAAAATTCCCGTTTTTCCTTAATTTTTCTTTTGTTTTTCTTGGCGCTTTTGAAAAGTACTGGGAATTTTAAATTTTGACCTCCTTAATGCACCAACGATATTCACTTTCCAATCGAACAAGATACTGAAGTCGAAAATCGAAGCATTATTTCGACTACTTATCGTGTACACAGATACAAAAAAAATAAAAAATCGTTCCACTCAGAATCTAAAAGAACAATGTATGTAATCACTTTGCTGTATAGTAGGTGCGAGCGTACCTCTATTACTGAATAAGTATCAATGTTAAGGATGTATTTAATTTTGATTCAATGATAAACCATTGTAAACAATGAAAAACGATTCTAAGCAGAGATGATAATAGCATGTTATGATTATAATGATACATAAATTGTGTAAAAAACAAAAAAATTTTAACAATTTTAAATTTCTATAAGTAGTTCAAAAAGAGGTAAAATATTTTTATTGTGTACAGAAAATGCTTACATAAATATGTGGAAAAAATTTCAAGTCTATGGTTATTTGTTTTTGGTTTACAACAAAAAAAAAGGTGGGTAAGTGGATGTCGCTCTGCTGTACAGTAGGTTACAAGTGGGTCACTGTATAATGGATGCTATTAAATTTGAATTCAATGATATAATATCATTGTATAAGAAAAACGATTCTGAGCGAAGACGGTATGTCAGTCTAGGTTTATGATAAATTATATACAAATCTATGGTATTAAAAAAAAATTGACCTATAATAAATTCCAAATTAATCATATCACATTATCACAATATCCATTAGGTACTTATAACACGTTATACATCAACATCAATAACAAACCCTGATACTATCATCGATATATAATAATACACTTTAGAAGTTTCAAGTAGGTATCCCGTACCCACGAATAATATTATATAATCACAACAAAATAACTAGGTTTTTTAATATGAAATTTCGTCCAAATTTGAACATAAAATGACTATAAAAATAAACTGTGATTGTATATTTTTTAGATTTTTCGGTAAGAGAATTAACTACTTACGTAGAATCTTGTTTTAAATTTTCAATCCTTAGCTATAAAAACTGAACATTTTATAATTTATTAATTACGATGATTAATAATTTCCGAGATTTTGAAAAATTCTGTCAAAATTCGATGTAAAAATGCTTATAAAAAAAAATTGTGCCTATGTATTTTTAATATTTTTCAACTGAAATTGTAACAATATATCAGGATCCTTGTATTAAATTTTTACACTTTTTGGCCCAACAGATAAAACTTAATTGATATTTATAGAAAAAAAAAACTAAAAAAATTGAAAACTGAAAATGTCCGTAAACGGCTCAAAAAGAGTCAAAATATTTTCAAAATTGTATGGTGTATAGGAAATGCTAATATAAACATTCAGTGAAATTTTCATGTATCTACAGTAATTCGTTTTTTAATTACAACAAAAAAAGGAAATTGCCACATGAGAAATCGAGTGAATATCCAATGTTGTAAAAATTTGAATTTCAAACGCTCATAAAAATTTAATTTGACTTTCCGGTAGAGATTTTTTTATTGATAAAGGTAGACAATCTTATGAGTAATCTTGTATTAGATTTTCAAATCTTAGATTTAAAAAGAAAAATTTTGACGAATTCTTAACTCAAAATAATTTGCTAATTTTCGTGATTTTTCCATATTTTTTCAATTTTTGAACTTTAAATGCTTATAAAAAAAAATTGTGACTAAGGATTTTTAATATTTTTCATCTGCCTTTGAAACAATATATTAGGAGCCTTCTATTAAATTTTCAAGCTTTCGCAACCAACAAATAAAATTTTATTGATATTTCTAGAAAAAAAACTAAAAAAAAACGAAAAATGAAAATGTCCCTAAACTGTTCAAAATAAATCAAAATATTTTGAAAATGTTATCGTGTATAGAAGATGCAAATATAAACAACCAGTGAAAATTTCATGTAGCTACGGTCATTTGTTTTAAAGTTACACCAAAAACCAGAATCGATTTTTTGGAAAACCGATTTTGCGTAAAAATTCCCGTTTTTCCTTAATTTTTATGTTGTTTTTCCCGGCGCTCTTGAAAACTACTGGGAAATTTAAATTTTGACCTCCCCAATGCACCAACGATATTCACTTTCCAATCGAACAAGATACTGAAGTCGAAAATCGAAGCATTATTTCGACTACTTATCGTGTACACAGACACAAAAAAAATAAATATAAAAATAAAAAAAAAAATAAAAAAAAGTGGATGTCGCTCTGCTGTACAGTAGGTTACAAGTGGGTCACTGTATAATGGATGCTATTAAATTTGAGTTCAATGATACAATATCATTGTATAAGAAAAACGATTCTGAGCGAAGACGGTATGTCAGTCTAGGTTTAAGACAAATTATATACATATCTATGGTATTAAAAAAAAAATTGACCTATAATAAATTCCAAATTAATCATATCACATTATCACAATATCCATTAGGTACTTATAACACGTTATACATCAACATCAACAACAAACCCTGATACTATCATATATATATAATAGTACACTTTAGAAGTTTCAAGTAGGTACCCACGAATAATATTATATAATCACAACAAAATAACTAGGTTTTTTAATATGTAATTTCGTCCAAATTTGAACATAAAATGACTATAAAAGTAAACTGTGATTGTATATTTTTTAGATTTTTCGGTAAGAGAATTAACTACTTACGTGGAATCTTGTTTTAAATTTTCAATCCTTAGCTATAAAAACTGAACATTTTATAATTTATTAATTACGATGATTAATAATTTTCGAGATTTTGAAAAATTCTATCAAAATTCGATGTTAAAATGCTTATAAAAAAAAATTGTGCCTATGTATTTTTAATATTTTTCAACTGATATTGTAACAATATATCAGGAGCCTTGTATTAAATTTTTACACTTTTTGGCCGAACAGATAAAACTTAATTGATATTTATAGAAAAAAAAAACTAAAAAAATTGAAAACTGAAAATGTCCGTAAACGGCTCAAAAAGAGTCAAAATATTTTCAAAATTGTAGGGTGTATAGGAAATGCTAATATAAACATTCAGTGAAATTTGCATGTATCTACAGTAATTCGTTTTTTAATTACAACAAAAAAAGGAAATTGCCACATGAGAAATCGAGTGAATATCCAATGTTGTAAAAATTTCAATTTCAAACGCTCATAAAAATTTAATTTGACTTTCCGGTAGAAATTTTTTTATTGATAAAGGTAGACAATCTTATGAGTAATCTTGTATTAGATTTTCAAATCTTAGATTTAAAAAGAAAAATTTTTACGAATTCTTAACTCAAAATAATTTGCTAATTTTCGTGATTTTTCCATATTTTGTCAATTTTTGAACTTTAAATGCTTATAAAAAAAAATTGTGACTAAGGATTTTTAATATTTTTCATCTGCCTTTGAAACAACATATTAGGAGCCTTCTATTAAATTTTCAAGCTTTCGCAACCAACAAATAAAATTTCATTGAAATTTTTAGAAAAAAAACTAAAAAAAAATGGAAAATGAAAATGTCCCTAAACAGTTCAAAATAAATCGAAATATTTTGAAAATGTTATCGTGTATAGAAAATGGAAATATAAACAACCAGTGAAAATTTCATGTATATACGTTCATTTGTTTTAGAGTTACACCAATAACCAAAATCGATTTTTTGGAAAATCAATTTTGCGTAAAAATTCCCGTTTTTCCTTAATTTTTATGTTGTTTTTCCCGTCGCTTGTGAAAACTACTGGGAAATTTAAATTTTGACCTCCCCAATGCACCAACGATATTCACTTTCCAATCGAACAAGATACTGAAGTCGAAAATCGAAGCATTATTTCGACTACTTATCGTGTACACAGATACAAAAAAAATAAAAAATAAAATAAAAAAAAAAACACACATCATTGTAAAATCAATACATTCATCGTTTCACTCAGAATCTAAAAAAAACACACATCATTGTAAAATCAATACATTCATCGTTTCACTCAGAATCTAAAACTAAATTAATTTATGCCAAAAACCAGTTTTGCATAATCGTCTTATTGTTATAATAGTTTTGTTATTCCCTAATATTTTGAAAAGTACTGAGAATTTCTTTTGACTCCTCAAAGAAAAAATAACAATATTCAATTTGCTATACAATCTTAACTTTCTCAGAATTGAAAATCAGAGTATTTTTTCTACTATAAAAGTGTTTTTAGACACAAAAATACCACATCATTGTAAAACCAATACATTCATAGGTCTGCTCAGAATTTATTATGAGCCATGAGGTAATTAATAAAAATATGAAATACAAGAGTTGTTCTACTGTTTTTTATAACTAACATTTTATCTTTCATAGTTTAACTGAAACTTGGGTATAAATTATAAAATTGAAGAATTAAATTAATAAAATATTTAATTTATAGTTTTTAAAATGAGGTCTGTTGGGATAAGATGCTAACGGAGTAAGTGTCTAATCGAGTTATAAAAAATCGGTCCTTAAATTTTAATGTTGATTATATAAAAAATACAAAGTATCATACTCATAAACTATTGTATAATTTAAGCTACAGTGTAGGATATCAAACACAGTGGTTATCGCTATTTGAAAACCTACTCAGATATCAACTAGTATTATTATAAATCAATGTAATTTTTTAGTAATTTAGTTTTCCAACTTAAATTGTTTCAAATTTTGTAAATAAATGTATATTTATATATTTATGTAACTCGCTCACAGGGGGAAAAAAAAATTTGACTAAAAATTTTATTTTTTCGAGATGTCGAGAATTTCGAGTTATAAATGTTTGAGTTACCGACAGTACGCACTGTAAATTTATTTTTTAATTGTGTTAATTCTATGATACAAATAAGTATTAGCCCATTTGGCACTATCCTCATAAAAGTGTCATATGAGGAAAGTACAACATGATAAATGAGACAACAAATGTGACATATGCTGACATGCTTTGTCGCACTGACCCATACATTAATTATTAGCAAATGTACATTTTTAAATAAATTGTAAATAACATTGATACTTTTAATGTGTTGACATTTTAACAATCAACTTAAACTTAAAGATAATGTATAAATAGAATATAATTAAAAAATCATAAAAATTAAAAGAACTTTCTGTCAAATTATAATACATTTCAATAATAATTGAATTATGTCAAGGAATTTGCTTACGGATAGGATATTCAATAGTTTATGCCACTTACACTAACCCCCGAAATAAGGTTGTATAAACGTATAAACAATATCAAAAGATTAGGTTTTGTACTTACCCAGGTAGCAAGGAATGTGCAACATTATTTTTAAATATTTATTTCTCAACCAAAAATTATCTAAACTTTATTTTGAAAACAAATATGAGTTTATGACTAATTTATTAATAGATGGAAAAATATATATACTTCATATGTAAACAACAAGAGATATATGCAGTTAAAGTGATATTTTGCATAACCACGTTGCTGTTGGGGTAATCTGCCCATACCTCATATTAAAATTGTGTACGACATACCTGCATAGCATTAGCATTAACTCCAACAGAAATGGGTCCATGTTTAACTAAAAATTTGGCAATATCTTCCTCATCTGTAGATACATTCACAGATTTTGATATTGATACCTTCACATCACTTTTTTTTAACTGACATCCTTTACGATCTGCGTGTCCTTCATAAGGATAATCAGACTCTGTCTCTAAACCCCCTAAATTTTCAATGGCTTCAAATGCTTGAGTCATTAAACCACCACCACATCCATTATCCAAATTGTCACAATCAATGAGCTCTATAAAAATAAACCTTATATCAATAAAAAAACAAGTTAGTATAGGGCATATTTTTTTAATGGAACACAATTAACTATAATTTCATGTACAGTTTTAAAAGAATTTGGTACTTTTATATTTTGGTACATATTTTTTAATATTGATTAGTATGAATCTATTTTAAACTTTAAAACAAATAAGTTTTAATATTTTTATTATACTAGCTACTAGATAGTATGGTATGAATTTATTTTGAATTGAACAGTTATGAAATTATTTATTTATTCAACTGTAGTATTAAAAAATTTATATTAATAAGTCTCTAGTAAATGTATTTTTAGCTTCTTATTTTTAATTTAGAATACTATTACCAAAATTGTAAAATTATTATCAACAATTGTAACTATATATTGTTAACTAACGGACAAACAGACAAAATGGGGATAACAGTAAAGGTGTTTTAAACTTGTTTAGAAAACTGATAAAACATTTTTTTAATACTTATAATCAATTAAATTTATTAATTACTTACCTTGTTCTGAGAGAGATAGAAGTTCTTTAGATTTTAAAGCATACTGTCCCTCAATATTGGCTATGGCTGAAAATGCCCAACAAGAACCACAGGCTCCCTAAAATGACAATGTAAAAATGCAATTCATCATTTTATTTGTTGTACTCTATATATTTTCTTATTATTTGTCCAACATGTTTTATAATTAAAATGTATAAGATTATTAATGATTATAAATAAAATATATATAATTTAAAATTATGTGTCAATAGTTTTACCTGATTTTTTACTGGTGTCACTGCATTATGGTCTCTCCAATCAAATTCATTAGGAATAGAAGCATTTTGTGGTATAACTGCCATGGGTAATGTTTTTTTGCTTGCCAACGAAGAGTCCAGGCCCAAGTATTTTTTTTTAAATTCATTTTCTATCAAAATATTAAATTATTATTATATTATTTAATAAAGTTTGTACTAACTATAACTTATAAGTAAAATTTGTCTGATTTTAAATTATGAAAAAGAGGAAGACATTTAAAAAAATTTGTTTTTTTATTGTGTTGTTATGTTAGTGATATAAGGGTTTAGATTTAAATTACTTTAAAAAAAATGCATTCATGACCTAAAAAATTCCTGAAATTAAACGCGGATTTCTTCAGAAATAAAGATAAATATGTGATACGTTTTATTTAAAATCCAGAAACCTTTGTTGTTTTAGTACAATATGTATATTTATATATTATATTTTAATTTTTTGTAATATTATTAGAAATAGGTTTAAAAATGACTAAAAAAAATAAATGATGCCCTGAAAAAAGTTTGTTGTCAGCATAGCATGTGGTGCCGTACTTGAAATTGAAACACATTTGTATCTTGGAAAGCATCAGGTCAAGCATTCCAGAAAATATGCTAATGTATAGAAATCTAAGATGGCCTAGTGATTCCTTTTTAACTTGAAGTGTTATGACGTGATATGAAAATCCTCTACTGTATAAAAATTGCTTCAAGGGTGTTAGATTTGTTTTTGAAATTCTAAAGTAATTTTAAAGAAAATTGACACCATATAAAAATCACACACAGAGTCAAGGCAAATTTATTACAAACTTATTAATTTGTTTTGTTAATATTTAGAAATTAGAAATCAACCTCAAAGTCAAAAATATTAAAACATAAATGATAAATTGCAATTGACAAATATTATTTTTAAATTATATGGTTTGTTACTTGTAAGATCTGCAAATTGTGTAGCTCCATAAATAGCACTTCCTTGTTCATGGTTTTGTAATAATTTTACTTTCTTCATATTAGCAGCAAATATTCGGAATCTTCTACTCTTTTCTCCAAGACTAGTATAAATTTTATTATGTGTCATGATAAAATTTTCAAAATCTGTCTTTAATTGTAATCGATCATCAATATTATTTTTCTTTGTAGTTAATTTTTCCTAAAAAAAGAATAAAACTATTAAACAATATAATATTGAATAATATATATTATAGTATTTTTTTTCTATAGATTTTTATAGGTAAAATAAATGATAACACACAGTGTATAAATGACAACTTATGTCTTAGGATCAATGCAATAACTGCAACTTTTTCATTGATCTCATTGGTTTAGCATAATTATCAATAAATAACTAAGCCTGTTTATAATCATGAATAATGCTCAACATTTAATACCAATCGAGTGCACTTAGGGCCCGTTTTACAATCATAGTTATTTTCTTGGTTATGATTAAACCACTTATTTTACCGGCCGAATTTGGTGGTTTAACCTTAGTTTAATGATTGTAATAAGGGCACTTAGGTTTAAAATGTAATTGATATTAATATGATATGTGATTAATATTAACATTAGTTATGTGAACTTACAGAATTTGATATATCTGTGTTAGTTTTATGAGGTTTATAACAATTGAATTCTGAAGTATTTTTGTTGTTCTCCCATGCCTGTTCCCATACTTTAATATTACAAATTCTACAGTTCTGTAATATTACAAAAATACATAATATAAGTAGCAATCATTTAATTTTTATAATAGGTAAGGTAGGTAACTATAATAAATAGTATACATTTTATAAATTATCATCTAATCATCAAAATGTATATTAATTATTAATTAATAAATAATAATGAATAATGAATAAATAGGTTCATAAATTATTTTGCAGTAAATCCGTTTTAAACAAATTTTTAGGGAACAAACTTTTTTTTTTCACATTTTAGGATTTTAGAAAAGAAACTAAAAAAATCACAAAATAAGATGAAATAACAACAATAAAGAGAAACCATTATGATTATGTTTGCAACTGCCAACAGTTTTTCCTCACTAGCATTATTTTACGTTACTTCAATTTTTATTTAAAAATTATGATGAATTAAATATAAATATGAAACAGTATTGGTATCAAATAATTGCCACAATGTTGTATCAATTTATCAATATTAGTAGACAGTTATTGAGATAATATAAATTTAAAAACAAATTGATCATTAAACTAGCTAATAATTTATTTGGAAGATTACCTTTTCATCGACTTCACTTGTAGAATTATCACATATTTCCAATTCAATATTGTAGATAATTCCAGACACTATCTATAATATCAAATAATTTAGTTGAGGGTTAAATTCAAATAATTACATACTTATAAATGTAAACTCTTTATTTTTTTTTACTTGTTTGGATACATTTATGATTTTTGATAACACATGTGGTTTTTTGGATCCTTCTTGTCGATCAATAGATAGTAAAGCATAAGCCACTATGTCTTGAACTTTCTTGTCATTAGAATTCAAACTTATTTTTGCCCCAAGATTTACATTTTCATGTATGTCCTGTGAAGTATAAAATGTATAACATATTTTATTTTTACTTAGGTACATTTCAGATTAATATTACTCTTTTAGTTACAGCTACACTTGAAAATGAAGAAATTTCAGAAGGTTTAGAACAAGCCACTTTAGTGACATTTTTATTGTTCAACCATGATTGTTCCCAGATAGTTATATCACAAGAGCGACAATTCTAAAAAAAGTAATTATATAAAGTTAAATAAAAGACCAAATTGTTAATAAGAATAAAAAAACACACTTTGGGATCCATAACAATGTTCTGACCTTGTGTTGAATCTTTTTCACATACCAATAATTTTATTTTATAATTTATTCCTGCAACAACCTGAAAGTTAAATAATTATGAATTAGAATTTTACCTAATTAATATATATTAAATATAATTGAAAATTATACTTGAGATTTTGCGGAGACGACTCTGATTAACCCCAAGGATCTCTTGGACATTGTTTGTTGTGTTATAGAATCTAATGAAAAGAGAGCCAGTTTTCTGATGTTTTCACTGTCAGCTTCTATGTCGGTATAACCTCCCAAAGGGGATGGCTAAAAAAAAAAATAATAATTACTTTAATAAAGCTTATTTTTAAACATACATTATATTTAGTTTTATATTAAAATAATATAACTTTCAAAACAGTATTAAGTGTTGTTCTGTGTTCTTATGGAGTTTGACTTTCTGGTTCTGGCAATGCTATTCATTTAGCAAATTGGTTTCCAACAAATTTAATAATTTAATATGTGCAGGTAATGAAAACTAAATTCATGTTTTTATGCTTAAAGTTACCTATGTAATATGCATCCATTAATGTATATTTTTTATATTATAAGCCGTTACAATCAATCAAATACAAAACTATCATTAACTCCGTTGGTGTAATAGGAGCATATTGTTGCTAGCGTCGTTATTGTAATAGGAGCATATTGTTGCAAGCGTCATGGTGTCTTATCGACCATCCTGCATGCGAAGGCCGAAGTGTGGTCGCTATTAGTACTAAGTAGTTAATACCTTTATTGAAGTAATTTTGTAGTTGTATTATCCTAACCCTAATAAATATATCGTCTTACTATTAATTATCTATCGTTGAGTATTCATTTGGCTAGGGAGAATTGACACTTATTTTTACAGTCAAATTCTAATAGTGATGCCTAATATTAAATATGTTCATTTTTTAGAGAATAGCTTTTCTTCTAATTAAAAAGAGGTGAACATAATACACAGTTGTTTTCGGGTTACCTTCTAACAAAATTACTATTTTACAAGTTATACCTTATTTTATTATATTATATTAAATTATAACTAAACATTGAATACAAAAATACGGTATTTTTCATATATTTTTTTGTCATTCATATTTTATAAACTAATATTTATTCATATAAAATTTTTTTGTTTTAATTTGATGTTTTGAAATTATTCCAGTTTGATATCTGTAAAAATTGTATTCATACTTTTTAAATTGTCATTTTTTTTTACAAATACATTTTTAAATAAGTTCTTACATTAAAAACTCTGTAACCATTTCATAAATATGTTAGATATGAATTCCAATTTAAATTATTTGTTCACTAGTTTTAAATTGGCAAGTCTTTTGAATAATCATTTATTTGATCAGGTATATGAATATTCTTATTGATATCAGAAATATTTATAGTTGTTTTTGTATTCTATAAATATAGAACAAATTAAACACTTTCTTTATACAAATAGACAATATTACAAATTTGTTAAACCCAGTGGTGTAGCGTGGGTTTCAGCTTAGTGTATGCGTTGAAATAGTAAGTTAATGGAATGGTTGGGGGCTATGCCCCCCACACTCCCTACTGTTTTTAAAATTTTACTTTAAACATACAATGTTTTATTTATTCATTAACATATATTACATTACCTAGTACACAACAAAATATTATATTTAATAAATAAAAAGTAAATCACTTTTTAAAAATTAATGCACGTTATAACTTGTAATAGACTGTCAACGATAGCGTATGCAATACTGATCCCGCATACACGACTACACGAGTGACTAATATACCACCATAAGCGTTCTATGTTTTGTTATTAATATTATCGATAAGAACTATAAATAACTGCAGTCGCTGAAATTCTGTACCCGTATGCAATCGCCTACTTGCATACTGCTTACATAATAAACAAGGTACTGAGGTACTACTGTACTAGCGACTTTAGCGACTAGGACTATAGCCTAGGTGTTACGGATTAATCAATCCTAATGAATAATGATTAATGAACTTGGAAAAAAATCCACAAAATATTATATTACGAAGCACTAAATTAGTACAATGAAATTTAAAACATTTTTATCAAAATATAGAATTATTAATATATAAAAAAATATTTTTTCATTTTGTGAAGTGTATGCTGTGCATACACAGCATAAGCATATGCTACATCACTGGTTAAACCTCTGGAACACGAATATAAGTACGAGAATCATGTAAGACACATGACATTTCTACCACTTTATATGTACTGTTTTCCTTCTTATTAATTGTATTTTGACATACATCACAAACCTTAAAAAAAAAAAATGTATGTAAGCCCAAGAAAAATTGAACATATAAAAAACTCACAAAAAAATCATTTCTTGATATTTTTTTTTCAGGATGCATTTCTATTTCTTTTTTCTGATTTAAATCATTAAAACGACATGCTGTTACTTCTATTTTGTTTTGATCTGAAGTCTGCAAATTGAAGTTTAAATTTCCTAGTCTTATCTTAAATTATATTTTAACCTTACATATGATATATTGCCAATTGCTTCAACTTCAATTAATTTATGCCCATAATCTGATAATCCATTCATTGATTTCAATGCAATATCTGATAATTGTTCAATAAATTTATTAATTCCTTCTTCAGTATCTCTTTTTATTTTTTTATGATTGATAATATTTTTCACAGAATACTGACGATTGTAAAGCTTAGAAATTAAAAACTGTTTATTATTCCCAATCTATAACAGAATAAATCAGGAGTGTAGTGGGCAGTAAAATAAATATCATCAAAATTAATACTGAGAACAATCAAATAAATGATATTCAATGGAGGTGTTATTATTACTTATTTTCTATTTTTAGATTCCGAGTGGAACGATGAATGTATTGATTTTACAATGATGTGTTTTTTTTATTTTTTATTTTGTAATTTTTTTTTGAATTTTTGTGTGTCATTACGGTTTGGGGCAGTAAAACTGCTTCAATTTGGGAAAATGAATCTAGTTGGTTCAAAAGTTGGTCAAATTTTAAAATTCCCATTAGTTTTCAAAAACGCCGAAAAAACAAAAGAAAAATTAAGGGAAAACGAGAATTTTTACTCAAAATCTGTTTTCGAGAAAATCAATTTTGGTTTTTGGTACAACTCTATTAAATAAATGACCGTAGGTACATGCAATTTTCACTGGTTGTTTATATTTGCATTTCTATACAAGATACAATTTTCAAAATATTATGATTTGTTTTGAACTGTTTAGGAACATTTTCAGTTTCCAATTTTATTAGTCTATTTTTCTATGAATGTCAATAAAACTTTTTTTGTTGGTTAAAAAAGCTTGAAAATGTATTAGAAGTGTATTAGTATTAGAAGGCTCCTAGTATATTGTTTTAAAGGCAGATGAAAAATATTAAAAATCCTTAGTTAGTTTTTTTTATAAGCCTTTAAAGTTCAAAAATTGATAAATATGGGAAAATAACGAAAATTAGCAAATTATTTTGAGTTGAGAATTCATAAAATTTTTCTTTTTAAATCTAAGATTTGAAAATGTAATACAAAATTCCTCATAAGTTTGTCTACCTTTATCAAAAAAAAAAAAAAAATGCCTACAAGCAAATCAATTTAAATATTTATGTGCGTTTGAAGTTCATATTTTTACAATATTGAATATTCACTCCATTTCTCATGTAACGGTTTTGTTATTTTATAGTTAATCGAAAACGAAAAAATGAAGATACATGAACATTTTACTGAATGAACATATTTTCATTTTCTATACACCATACAATTTTGAAAATATTTTAACTCTTTTTGAGCTGTTAACAGACATTGTCAGTTTTCAATTTTAGATTCTGAGTGGAACGATGAATGTATTGATTTTACAATGATGGTTTTTTTTTATATTTTAATTTTTAAATTTTAAATTTTTTATTTTATTTGTGTCTGTATACACAATAAGTAGTCAAAATAATGCTTCGATTTTCAACTTCAGTATCTTGTTCGATTGGAAAGTGAATATGGTTGGGGCATTGGGGAGGTCAACATTTAAAATTCCCAGTCATTTTCAAAAGCGCCAAGTAAAACAAAAGAAAAATTAAGGAAAAACGGGAATTTTTACGCAGAATTGATTTTTCACAAAATCAAATTTAGTTTTCGGTGTAACTTTAAAACAAATTACCGTAGATACATCAAATTTTCACTGGTTGTTTATATTTGCATTTTTTCTACACAATAACATTTACAAAATATTTTGATTTATTTTGAACTGTTTAGGGACATTTTCATTTTCCATTTTTTTTTTAGTATTTTTTCTAAAAATATCAATAAAATCTTATTTGTTTGGTAAAAAAACGTGAACATTTAATGTAAGGCACCTGATATACTGTTAAAATAGCAGTTGAAAAGTATTAAAAATACATAGGCACAATTTTTTTTTATAGCATATAAAGTTTGAATTTTGACAAAATTTATTAAATAAATAATTTATAAAATGTTCAACTTTTATACCTAACGATTGAAAATTTAAAACAAGGTTCCAAGTAAATAGGTTCTAAATAAATTACCTTATTCACAATAATATCATCAAATATACTTAGTAATATCATAGGCTGACTGACCGTTTTCCCTCAGAATCGTTTTTTCTTATTTTAATGATATTATATCGTTGAATTCAAATTTAACACCATCCGTTACAGTGACCCACTAGTAATCTAATGTACACCAGAGCGACTTTTTAAATAAACCGACATATTTATTCATTAAAAAATTAAATAAATTATTAGTTAGGTACCATAATTGAAACTGAAGATGAATGCTACGGGAATATTTCACATGGCATTTCTACTGTGTTAAACTCAATTTTTGACATTTTAGTGTACCTACAATCTACATACCAATAACCGCCCCTCAAATGTTCCTTGATTTAAACTGTTGCAAAGAAATCATATTTAAATAAGTCTAATACTATTGTTTAGTATAATAAGTGTTTTGCAGTGATTTATTTTAAAATGTATTACTACTATGTATTCACTATATTATGATTACTGAATCAAATTTTGATTCTGAGCAAATTGATGAATGTATTGATTTTACGTGTTTTTTTTAAATTTATTTTTTATTATTGTGTCCGTCACCACTGTTTGGGTTAGTAAAATTGCTTCGATTTTCTTCAACAGTATCTTGTTTGATGAGAAAGTAAATCTAGTTGGTACACTGGGGAGATGAAAATTTAAGATTCCTAAAAGTTTCCAAAAGCGCCGGGAAAGACAACATAACAAGTAAGGAAAAACCGGAATTTTGGTTTTTGGGATAA